ATACTAAGTTTCAGTCTTTCTAGTGTTAAATAAATAAAAATACCAATAGTGAAATACACAAAATTATAGCGGCTTCTTTTATTACTGATTATTTAAATGTGGCCTGTAGTGGTAAAAAGATTCCCCACCTCAGGACTAGACCATTGAATTACTTATACACTCGTAATCAGGCAATCGTGAATTGTTCGGTAATAATTGTTATCGTCTGGTAAGACAAGACGCTTTTGTGAGCGTCACAATGAAGATCAGACTTGTAATGAGACGAAATTATGCGGTTCGAGCATAATATTTTCCGGTGATACTTAACGTAGATCGGTGGATCGAGTCCTCGTCCAATTTCCGTATGGAAATCGATTCTCCCATTACCACTGTCTATTGTAATTACGGACTAGTTACACAGGCGGGCGTGCAATCACCGGGGATTACGGCCCGGGGAACGATAATGGCCGGAATTGTTCTTGCTGCGCTAAATTATTAAGTTAATTCTTGGATCTGGCGCAGTCACGTCCATTTATCTCCCTCGCCGGATATCTTGCTCGCGAGAGAAAGCCCCTGGGAACCCTTTTCTGTTCTACGGGATCCTAGATATGAAAGTTTCATGAAATCCAGGTGAACCGGACACGTCCGGCGCTGTGTTGCTCCCTCGAAAGTTAAATTGGAATCTTGCTTAATCTTCCTCGAATCGCGAAGAAATTCATTTCGTCGCGACGATATCATCGTCTCTGCGGTGCCAATTTACCTGTTGTTGGCACATTGCCTGTACGTCGGATATTACGAATTATTCGAACGATTTAAGTGCGAACAATTCGCCGGTTCGATTCTATTGATTAAACTGCCGCTACTGAATGATAAATGACTCGGCTTGGACCTCCCCTCCCGGTTATCATCTTAAGTATTTCTTATCAAATAATTTGTGAATAATCGACGGTCACAGCTTTGATACGAGATTTTTTATCAAGGAATGACTAACATTCTCCGGTATGAAATTTAAGAGTGGAAACGTCCGAGCCGAGGAATGTTTCGGAACGTATATGAAATATTTGCTCCGGTATGAAGTGGGAATTCCAGGATAACGTTGCTAGATTCCAGGATCTTGGTCGTTGGTCGGCAATCTAAAATCAAGGTTGCTTCTTGCCGGATCGATCAGCCGGAATGTATTATTAATTACGTACTAATTATCCGTTCGTTAACGGAGGAGCCGAAACACGCAGTTAATATTGTATAAGAGGGAATACGCCGTTCCACCGATCGAACCTCTTAACGCTAATTACAATCGACATTTTTCATTCCCGAGAGAGCCCTGGAACTTGTCCTTGTTCGCACCGTCGCCTGCCATCATCGCTATCACAATGTTTCATTTTTTATCTTCTTAAGGACGATCTCCTTCGCGCAGGAAAATTGTATAAATGTATAAAGGTCCGTAGCTCGGCGCCGATGTTGCTCGTCCGGTTTAACGCGAATCCAAGGGAGGCGAAAGAAATGTTTTGAACGGAGGTAGAGGTTTCTATCCAAACATCGATTCCAATTAAAGCAGTTGAACCGGAGTGATCGACCGGCGGTGGCTGCCGTTTGTTCTTGGCCAACTCCGTAGTCAAGTTTCGAACTGAACGGCTGGAAATTTTCATTTCCGAGGCGGTGTTCCGGGGAAGTTTAAACTGCGTTCGCCCGACTTTTCGCCGAGCCTATTGCGCGAAACTTTCACTAATTACACGACACCGCGCTTTCGTTGTTCCCTCCGCGCGGAATTAGCGCAATTTTCGCTTTTCAATGCACCGATTCCATCCAACGAGCACCCGGCTTGTTTTGTTCCCGGCAAGCTGTTGTCGCAGAATTTCATAATTAAACGTTGCCACCGAGGGTTGTTCAAAGTTTGTTTAGCGCGAATTAACCGCTGAACGCTGCGGGGCTTCCAAGGGGGAAACGTTAGCCGCTGGGCTTTAATGGGCTTTAATGGTCAACGAGTATTTCTCTCTGTAGCGACGGCGACGTCGACGTCTTCCTGTGTGAAAACGATATTCAACCTAATGACCCGACACTCTCGATCGTAAATGGTATCTCGGTGCCATTAAAACCCTCCATGTCGTCTTTCACGAGCATCATCAACCCCGCTCGAGTGTATCGTCGTAAGAGTGTGCGACCTCGTAAATCAAAGCAACCTACAGTACTCGGCACGCTCTGTACGCGAAACATATATTTCCACACTAAATGCACGCATCTTCCGGAGTGGCACTTGAGCCTGAATCGAGACCACGCATCATCTTATAAAAGTAACGATACTTTTTATGAAATACGACTACGGTTTTTCGACTGAATCGATAATAACCGAAAGCAGCGTCCACATATTTTTTAATTTTCGTTATGCATTCTTAACTTCCAAACATACTTCGGAACTTTGACGATTTCAGTATAGTGTGAAATAGCATTTACTGTAACAGTTTATCTTGAGAAATTTACCGATTCGGTAATTTTCGACATTCGGTTTGTTGTTAAGGATGTATTGGCTATACAGTCAATTCCAAAAGTTTATACACCTTAGAAAAACGCATTTCCTACAATTAAACAGAAATTAGACGTCGGAAGAACAATGCCAATAATAAATAGCGACGTGCTAAAAGGTATAGAAGAAAATATCCAATTAACTATTGACGCTGGTGAAAAGTTTGTTATAGAGAAGTTGTAGGCACTGACATCCTCTACAAGAAAAGTTTTATGCATTTTTCTTATAAGTCCAGTATTTAACAAGTTAAGTATGATTATTTGGCATTTTATTGATGTTGACAAAATCCGACCATCCCAGCGTCGAAACGGCGAACTTTTGGAAAAAAATTTCATTTTTCCTCAATAACTCCTAAACCCTTGGAGATACGGGAAAATTGCATA